TTCCTTAGAACAGTGTCTTTATACTGCTTATTCTAGTACAAAAGCTGCACTGAAAAATGGTTTAACATTGACATCACTTTGAATTTGAGGCAGTAGAGATTTAAGCAGATTGTTGCAGACACTTATACAGAAAGTGCTTTGGTCCCTTGGCACTGGTCTTGTTGCTTTCTAAAAAAGAGTGCTTATATTTTCCCCTACAGATGATTTATCTTTACCCACAGCTTTGCTCATGCTGTTATCTCCTTCATGTGGAACCATAAAACATTTAAATCAGAGTAAGAGAACACCATGCTGCACAGAAAGAGACACGAAAAGGGATCTGGTGTGGAGCTGACAACCTTAAGATATACAGGGACTGTCTGAAATTAAGCACTGCCTGTAAGAATGAGTGTCAAGGACAGTCTGCAGCTGGTTTCACATGTGAAGACAGAAAGCATCATCACGCTGCTTTGCGTGCTGCTGAGTTGAGATGTGTTCAGAGCCCTGCCCTGCCCCTCTGCTCTAATAGCCAGTGGGGGAGGATGAGATGGAATGGCCAAGGGCCTTCACTGCAGCACCTGATGTGATGGGTCAGACTCCCGCCTAGCAGACAGCCCAGGGAAGGAAAGAGGGGAGAGAGAGAAAATGAAAGAGCAATGAACAGCACATTGCTTCATGATGCCTCCTTTCCCTATTTCCCCAGCTGGAATCAACCCACATAACCAAGCAGGAGAACATCTGTCTCCAGAAAGCCAAATGCATACAGTTGTCAGTTCTAACAGGAATTACAGTCATTATTATGAGCACACACATCATTATCCAGAGAGCACTCTATAAACCCAACCCAGCAGTGCCATTCAGCAGGCCAGAAGTTTCCTTGATAGTAGATTCTACTAGGAATACGATTTTCATCTAACTAGTTAATAGGATTGAAGGAATAACCATCTGCTCCTTGCTCTCCTCCCACAGGTACTAACAAAAAGGGCTTAGTAGAAGTCAAGGGTAATACTGATGCGTTCCAAAACAAGTACAGTGGCATTTCTGTATGCTCAGCACAGTGGCATTTCATGATGCTCATGTGCCTTCTGCAAAGGGGCAGAAGTATCTACTATTTGTCTATGAAGCTGAGCAGGTTGTCTCCAGGTGTGCACTTAAACAAGGTAGAAAACGGTTCTTGGTTGCAGTCAGGAACGAATCCACAGGAGTGACTTCAGCCTGCCTTAGCTGGGCTGGTCCCCTGTGGCCTCCAAGGTCTCAGCAGCATCACTGGTGAGTTATGGGAGAAGGATGCTTGCAGCCAGGGAAGGTGTTTGGCATGTGTGCTGCAGGCGTTTGCTGGATGTTGTGTTCAGAGGCAAGCCTGGGTAAGGAGTTAAGAACTTCCCTGAGCACTGATTCAAACTCGGACACTCCTACTGCCTGGAAAAACAGCACCTACCTAGCGATTTCCTTCGCTCTTTCCATGGGCCTTGTTAGCAGGCACTCTGAGTACCTCAGGACCTTAATGGGTTTATTTATCTAGCAGCACTTCAGTGCAACAGGTAGGAGTAGCTTCTATCCACAAATGGAGACCAGAGACCTGGAAGAATAGATCCTCCCATTCCATTTCCTCCACCTCTCAAGGATGTCATACTGCTCTCACCCAACTTTGCTGTTGCCTCAGGCTGATGCAAACTCCATCCCACAAGCTTCCCTGAGCCCTGCCTCAATGCTAATGCCCCAGAGCATACCCTTCAGCTGCCTGCTCCCTCCTTGTCTTGCTCAGCAAATCCCTGCCCCATAAGACACTCATTATACACCTGGGGCAGATTCAGGTTCGCTCTGTGCATTCATCTGTGGTGAGGGCTGTAAACAATAACAACCGTGACACAAGGTGAGAGCAGAGAACAAGCTGTGCACTGCTCCCTTCCACCCTGCACTCACACATGGGGAACCAGGTTAGCCCCAGGTCTTCCCCAGTGGAGGTGGCTGTGCACAAACCCCACAGTGGTTCCCCCCTGCAGTACTGCAGCCTCAGCAACTCAGACCAGCAAAGGATGATTGCTGCTCGGCTGGATTTGGAACAGGTCCAGACTCAAACATCACTTTCGCAGGTGGTTTGAGGTTTTGTGTCTCTGCTGCTTTCCATTGCCTGGGGAAGACATTAATCTATTTCATCATCTAATGGGTGAATGACAAGGTTGATTACCCTCTCAGCTCCTGCTCCTCTACCCTGCCATGGGCCTGCAGAGATAGTTGTGGGGAGCAGCTGTGGCCAATACCTCTGGGTCAAATCAGCAAGCATCCAAAAATGTGATAAAGCCAGCAGACTTCACAGATGTGTTACCACTTTGTGCATCGCTACATGTTCTGTCATGGCCAACCTCATAATCTGGTACAGACACCACCACTGTCACAGAAGGAGACACTTTGCACGGTGGTTCCTCTGTTCCTACCAATTTAAAATGGAAGTATGAGCACATATTCACAGAATCCCAGAATGGTTTGTGTTCAAAGGGACCTTAAAGCTCATCCAGTTCCACCACCCTGCCATGGGCAGGGACATCTTCCACTAGACTAGGCTGCTCCAAGCCCTATCCAACCTCACCTTAAACACTGCCGTGGATGGGGCAGCCACAGCTTCTCTGGGCAACCTGTAGTTCCATCATAGATTTGCTAGAAGGAGTGATGTTTGTTACTTTCAATATTCAACTGTTTTATTAACAGCATGACAACAGCCAAAAAAGACTCCTTCCCTTTACTAATGATTTCTGCTTAGGTACTGCACACCAGGAGCAATCATCTCGAGTTTCTCTACTGAATGCAGCAGTCCCACCCTTTCCTAGCTACATACAGAAGGACGTGATGTGCTACCAAGGCAGCCAGCAGTTCATTGATGTGCTAAAAGACACATTAAAGGAGGAGCTTCTGGGGGAGAAGCTCAGCGTGGGAGAGGGATGAGAGATGCAAGAGGCTAGCAGTTCTCATGCTGGAAAGATGCATGTGCAGTACCTCCTTCCTTGTTAAGTTATGTTTGAAATACAGTTGCTATTTTCTGGGGGAGGAAAAAAAAAGACTGCATTTTAATTAAGCTTTGCCTGCTGCTTAAGTCAGTTTGATAGCAGTTCCTAAGAATCCAGGCCTCTACTGACACATGAATTACTTCATTTTCATTTGCTGGAATGCACCAATTAAAATCTCACAGTGGAAGAGCTTCTTCTGAGATACCACTTGGATGTCTCAGTCAAAAACTCCGTGGCTTCGGCAATCTCAGCAATTTATTTTGCAACAGATCATATTTAGTCACAAATTACAATGTTGAAAGTAGTTAACAGAACCATAAGCTTCCAGCGAGAGTTTTAGGGCAAACTGAGTTTGCTGATGTGATACACAAGGCACTTAGAATTTCCCCTTTCTGTTCTCAACATGCGGGCCTCTCTCTGATCTGCAGCTTGCTTCACTTTCAGGTCTTGAACATATAGTCGGCCATGCTACAGTATACGGAATACCAAAGGTCATATGTTTAGAAGCGCATAGATGTCAATCTCTTTGTGTTATTAAAGGTTTATAGGCTAAATGCAGACAAAATCTTCCTGACACCAGAGGCTCATTATATCTCTCGCATTGTGTCAGAGTATCATGAATCGCAAGTTTTAGAAATACCAAGACTCATTTTTCAGCATTTTGAGATGCGTAAATTTTATGGTTATCCTAATTCCCAGTATTTCTCCTGGAGGTACAAGCAGAGCCAGCAAGCAGCGACAGCTCCACGCTTACTTCACACATACACCCGAAGTCACAAACTAGTTGTGCCCTGCCCAGGGTCCAGCAGAGGTATCAGTATGGCTGATACGTAGTAGCATCTGAGTTGCAGCAGTCATGCAGGATATGAGACCCAGAGCCCCAGTCTCTTCCTGAGAAAACGTAACAAAGCTCTTCCATGAGCATGTTCTGAAAGCAAAACTTTCAGATCTTTCTGGTGGTTCTGACTGAATTACTTCTGATGAAGATACAGCATGATCATGAGAATCTGAATAGAAAGGACCTCAAAGCACTCTCAACTCCTTCCTGCATCTAAGAGCCATTGTCATACTTCCCTTTTTCCCAGCTGACTGAATGGGTATTTAATGAGCCCATACAAAGCAGAGCAGCTTCAGTGGGACAGAGAGAGCTTGACTTGCTCCAAAATAGCCTACAGTCTGGTGGCTTTCAGTACTCTTTTGGGAGATATCAGTTCAAGTTCCTTCGGTAAGATGAGAGACTTCAACCTTGGTCTTTCATACCCCAAGGAAGCAATCTGAAATATTAATGCTTTTTGTTAACTGATGTGGCACCGTTTCCTCTTGTGTGTGAGAAACAGCCAACCTCATTAAAGCACTTAACCTTGGGAGAGTATTAGGCTGTGAACACCATGAATGAAAGGAGGCACCAGATTCCAATGGCTGTCAGGATTCTAACTCTCTGTCCTATTCCCCACCAGCTACCTCAGGCATGCCAGGTTTGATGAATCTGATTTTAGTGTCATTCCTAGCTTTAGAGGAACTTGGTGCCTGATTCAGGTATGCAGCTTCCACTGGAGGACAAAGAGGGAACAAATGAAATATTACAATCCTGAATCCAAGTTTCCATGATGGACACAGCCATGGCTGCCATGGAAGGACACCCTCTCTCAAGGACACATCCATCAGGTCACACACTATTATAAGGGCATGGATGTTTTCTACAGAACTCTCTGGAAGAACACCCATGGACTTCACTAGGAAGGGGTTTATTCTGCTGCCCTAATTCCACCATGGTGTTTAAGCACTCTGCTTTGCTAGGTTTATGATGTAGAGTGCTTACATGCCAAATGGAGCATAGTTTATCTCCGTTCTCATAAAACTCTACTGAAAAAAAGAAATGGAAGCTATTAAATAATTCAAGGGTGTCATAGCCATCAACTGGCTGAATACCTGCGAAACACAACATGCTTACAAAACACTAAACCTTGTCTTACTCAGAAGCACTGCTAAGGAAAAAATATAAATGTATAACAAGCACACTTATTTCTTCTCATAGCAGATACTTTTAAAATAACAATGGGAACACAAGGACGAACTGTGACTTCAAATCAATATCACCCTTTTAATCTCTGGATGTAAAATCTGTATTAACACTAAACATAACTTCGGAACAAGAAGATGATATAACATTGGGGCAACAATATAACTTTGACACCTCAAATCTCACAACTAAAGAGCTTAAGTTTAAAGCAACCAGAGGTAGCACCACAGAGGTCCCTGGATTGTACCAGCTAAAGAGTCAGATAGACTAATAGTAAATGTACTTGTTCTATAGATGGTCCACAGTCTCTAAGCCAAGAGGTAGAGTCCCCTCTGTGTTCTGTATATGTCAATGGACTATACAGCCATACGGTGGTGGCTGGCAGGTGCAGGGGAAGGAAGTTGGGTCCTGAGCCCATGGGGGTACATGACCATATCTGATCACAGCTCAGATCTGAGCAGGGCAGCAATGGAGCCCCTTGGGCAGCCACCTGCAGTCAGTCCTCCTCAAAGCAGCTCCTGCAGTCAGGAACTCTCCCCTTGGGTCTGGATGTCATCCAAGGGAACTCCTCGAGGTTGAGCCCTCCTTTTTTAGGTGAGTGACTGTGAATGTTGGATTACTGGCCATGAAGTTTAAGATTCAGCAGTGTAGAGACAAATCCACGTGACATCCTGAATACGTAGTTAATGTTGGTGGAGCTTGTACTGAGTTGGAACAATAAGCTTCATTTAGCCTCAATTTATTGGTTCTGTAAGACAAGTACACAGAGCTGAGTATCCCAAAACCAGATAACAAATACCAGCAGACTGAGCAAGAAGTCACCTAATTGAGGAGCCTCCAATAGCAAGGTCAGAGGTGTGTCAAACTCTGCCCTGCTGCAGTTTGGGACCCCAGCTCAGCAACTGCACAACCATTCCTCCCCCCACTCCATACCCACAGACTGCGTTATCTTTAGATGATAAGCACCAAAGTCCTTTTTGGTTTTAGAAAGCTATGCAAGAGGTCAATGCTCTTTCGAAAAGCATAGTCACTAGGATAGCATGTCACTGCCACCAGCCCCTTCCCTTGTGCCTGTGACGCTGCTTTGGGTCTTAGAGGTTAAGCACAAAGAAGTTTTAAGCACCACCATTTTAGGCACCAGCCCAGGTGATATATAAGCACTGTAAGTTCTTCATGGATTTTCCACCCAAGGCCTTATATGAATGGACAGTATGCCATTATGGATGTGTTCTATGACACAGCAATACTCACCAATAGTTTCTGATCCTAGAAAGCAGCAGATCGGTCAGAGAATGGGGATTCTGAAGACCAGACATTGAAAGAAAACTCAGAGAGATCACAGATCAAAGCAGCTGAGAAGATGTGAAAAATTAGGCACTGGGGTGAATTGCAAGAGACAAGACAAAATGAGAGAACAAGACAGTGAGCTGCAAGTATGTGTGGATGTGCATGCACACAGGAGTGACTCCTCTGAGCAACACTGTTTCTACTCCTGCACAGACACAACTTTCTATACAGTGCAGCAGATTCAAAAGGAAGCTTGGCCTTCGACACGGGGCTGCCAGACTGCTTTAGTCAAGAAACATAATGGCTCCAACAATAGTAAGGTATGGTGCTGGGCCACAGCTTCTGGTACAAATGGGAGAACATGAAAAACTCACTGCTATGCTCAGTCTAGCTCTTGCTTTTAGGATATTCACACCTTTACACATGTCCATGGATTACTGGGGCAATTTCACAAAGCTCTGACTATGAAGCAGGGTCCTCTTTTGTCCAAAGCAGCTACAGAGGAAAGGAACTACAGAGTGAACTGCAGAGTGATGAAAAACCTACATTAAACACATTTTGGAGGTTTGCTCAACTAGCCTTGGTCCAATCCTGCACCTGGAGCACATCTAGTTTGGCTGAATGTGAAAGGAAGCTGTAAGCACTGCTTGAAACCACATTGGGGTGCAAACTGAACTCTGTGTGTGTGTTGGAGGTGGGTGTTTGGGAGATTAATTTCAAAAGCACACTCCTTGAATGCTTTTCAGCCTTCTAAAATGCTCCTGTGGACATAGTCACCAGGTGAACTGAAAACAAAGGGTTCCTGGTCTGGCTGCCTGTCACCTGCTGCAATTGCTTGTGCCTGCCCCACTGTCCCAAGCAGAGCAGGGTGCACAGTCCTCCAGCCCCAGCAGCAGCCATTCTTTCTACCCCAAATGGGCAGGTCTATATTTGAAACCACAGAGGCGTATAATCTGATAGAAACGGTACCCTTTGAGTCTGTAGGCAGTGCTCAGCACCCCGGTAACGTGACATTTGTTCCTTCATTCGCCTCAAAACAACAGTGTGCAGTTGGGTTTATACATTACAAGACAACAGACAAAGGGAATACATGAGACAAAATTAAAGACATTACTCCCAGCTCCCATAAATTATCTCTGTAGTCTGTTTTACCAGCATCCATTTACCAGTGCTTGTTAAAATAGTACGAACAATAAACCCACCTAGCTGGCTAAGTAGGCATTAATGAAAAAGTGGAATACTGGTTTGCGTTATCCAAAACACAGAAAGGAAAATATTCCCACCAGTTCTGATAATGTCTTTCGGGGAGGGGTGGGGGGTGGGAGGAATCATCATCTTCTATATTGGAACAGAGAGCGATCTCTTAAGAGTCGGGAAGGGAAGAAATTAATAAAACTAATTGCGTACTCTGCTCATGGAGGAATGGAAGGCACTGAATCAGCCCAGAGAGCCGGGCCCCTCGGGTCTTGTTCCCTTTACAACTTCCCTGCTATTGTTTGTGGCCCCCGGAGGCACTTCCCGCGCTCCCGGAAAGGGGCTGCGGGGCGGGCGCTGTTAACGTGGGAGCTCCGCGCCGCTCCGCGCCCCGGGGGTGCAGCGGGGGATTCCCACAGCCCCGCACTGCGCCTCCGCATCGCCTCTCCGCGCCGTCCCGGGCAAACTCCGGCTCCCGGTTACTCCCCCCTGACCAAACTGGCGGGTTGGGCTCCCTCGTGGCACCGGTCCCTTAAAGGGGCCGCGTGGGAGCGAGTTAGTGTTGGAGCGTGCTGCACACCCGGTGTCAAGCACCGCGGAGACCCTCGGCGTCCGATCTCCGCTTGCACACCGGCCTCGGCGGGGAGCGCGGCGCTTGGCATGTAGGGGAGAGGAAAGGGAGAGAGGTGCGGAAAGGAGGGAAGGGAAAGGGGTGGAAGGGAAGGGAGGGGAGGGGGGAGAGGGAAAAAAAAAAAAAAAGGAAAAGAAAAAAAAAAGAGCTGCGTCTTTAAATGCTGGGGGCTGCGCGCTCGCCGGGGCGTCCGCAGCCGGATCCAGCCTCCCTCCCCTCGGCCGTGCCTCTCCGGTGCTTATGCACAGCTCCATTGCCGGCGGCGCGGCGCACGGGCGCTGCTGCTGCGCGGGGAGCGCGGAACCGCGCCGGGCCGGAGCCATGATCGCGATCCAGGCGCGCCGTGCACCCAGCCCTAACGACCGCACCGCCACCCGCTCGCCCTAGGGCTGCACCCGGCGCCGCGCAGCCGTCCCCGCCGGGTAAGTTTGCAGCCGCCCGGTGCCGGGGAGGGCGCGGGGGGAGGCGGCAGCCCGGCGCGGTGCAGCGCAGCCATCCCCAACTCGCCCCTGCAGCCCCCCTCTAACAGGTGGCTCGGAGCCTGCCTGCTTTCCCGCGGCTGCTGCGCCTTCCTCCTCTTCCTCCTCGCTGCCGCCGCGCCTTCCTCCGCGCAGGTAGGGCGGTGCGCACCTCCTGCCGCCCCGAGGGGCTCCCGCAGGGGTTGCGGTGCAGCGAGGGGCCCCGGGTGCGTGCGTGTGTGGAGGGGGAGCCGTGGTTTGCCACCTAGCGCCTGCCTTCATGGTCCCGCGGTGTGTCTGTCGTTGCAGCGGGCATGGGGAACCAGGTGGAGAAGCTGACCCATCTGAACTACAAGGAAGTTCCCACGGCCGACCCGACAGGTATGGACAGAGATGAAGGGCCCAGGATCGGGGTCTCCTACATCTTTTCGAATGATGATGATGAGCTGGAGCAGCAGCAGGATTCAGTGCACGACCTGGGGGGTGAGCACCCAGCCCTGCAGCCCTATGATCCCCAGCTGCATGAGGTGGAGTGCTCAGTCTATTACCGGGATGAGTGTATTTACCAGAAGAGCTTTGCAGAAGAGGACACGCTGCCAGAGGAGGGTGATGAAGGAGGTGGGGGGCATCTGAGCACCTACACCCCGGAGAACCTGCTGAATAGGTGCAAACCGGGTGACCTGGTGGAGTTTGTGTGCCAGGCCCAGTACCCTCACTGGGTGGTTTATGTTGGAGATTTTCAAGTTGTGCATCTGCACAGGCTGGAGGTGGTGAACAGCTTCCTCACCGATGCCAGCCAGGGCAGACGGGGCCGCATTGCCAACCAGTTGTACCGCTACAAACCCCTCAGCCCGGCCATGGTGGTGCGCAATGCCCTGGAGCAGGTGGGTTGCAAGGACCGGGACTTGAGCTGGAGAAACTCTGAGTGCTTTGCTGCCTGGTGCCGGTATGGCAAGCGGGAGTTTAAAATCGGTGGGGAGCTGCGCATAGGCAAGCAGCCCTACCGACTGCAGATCCGGCTGGGTGACAAGCGCAGCCACACGCTGGAGTTCCAGAGCCTGGAGGATCTGATTATGGAGAAGAGGAGAAATGATCAGATTGGTAGAGCTGCTGTGATCCAGGAGCTCTCCAGCCACCTGCAGGCTGCAGAGGAGGAGGAAGAGGAGGATGAAGACCATCATCATCCAGGTGCTCAGACTGCTGTGGAGTAGCAGCCCCACACCACCATGGTGCTTAGCCTGGGTGATGGGGATTAAAACTGAAGGCTGCGAAATTGAGCTGTTATAAGCCCTTTGGGCTGCTTCGGTGCAGCTTCATTCCAATCACATGTGAAAGGAAGGGGGAAAGCTGATTACGTGTCTGTGCTTTAGTGCTTAACTCCTTCAGTGCTTGATGATAAAACCCCTGACTTATTTGTAGAGGATAAAACTCAGGGCAATTCTACACCTCTCTACTCCCAGTTCTTTCCCTTCCTTTCTGCCCTTTCTGTGCATAGCTTTTCCCTCAGCCATCTGCCAGTAGGCCTGACTCTGTAAGATGTTAAATGCCTTTGACAGCTACTTATCATCAGAAGTTAAGAGTATTTAATACTATTAAGAAGGAGCCAGCTACTTTCAGGACATGCCCATGTAGCTCTGAGTTGGTAGGTGAGAAGCGTGACTGTGTTGTTTTCCTTTCTCTGCCCCTGCTTCTGTTCAGTTGTGGCTCCCATTGGTATTGCAACAAGCTGCTTGCTTGCCTGGTGCAAGGTAACATGGATAGTTAGCCAGCCCCCCAGAAAGTGTAAGCCAGAAATCTCCACTGATGTTAATAAACTGGGTTTGACATGCCTGGTGCCTTCTTAACTGATAGAAACTTGCAGGTGGGCTGGGGGACCTCCTCCATTGCTATTAGTGTGTGGTTTTGAGGCCAGAATATGTATTTCTGGCTGACTGGTCCCAGGGGATGCTGATTAAGGAGGAGTCTGCACGCTGGTCTGTGCTGGAATTCTTTCAAGCAGATACTGAGCTGTGCCGGTGCTTCTATAGGCTGCTTGGCTTTCCTAAAGCAAATGTGAGAGCTCCTGGTCATATCTGTGGCACACATCAAGGCAGCAGAAGCTGGTTGCTCATGTGCAAGAGTATGTCTTGAGTAAGCTGTCCCTTGAGAGTGTGGCCTCTTGGCTGGGAGCTCTTGACTGTGGGCATGTCACAGGTTCGGCGGCGCAGTAAACCCAGCTGAGATGGGAAGTGATGGGAGGGAGCACAGGCTGGAAGGCACCACAGGCAGGGGGTTTGGGTGTTCCTTTTTTCCTTCCTTACCACAAAGCAATTTCCTTTTCATTAGGGCTTTCATGTTTCCTTTGTTGCTATTATTTATGGTATGCAGCTGAGCTATAGCATTAGAGCAAAGGAGAGGACATGCCTCCAAAGTTGTTGTGCAAGTCCTCATTAAGCAGGAGAGGAGGGAGATGCGGTGTTATCTGCCTTGAATATTCCCTGAACTTGTTTTCAGCTGTTGAACTGATCTCCTGCACAGGCAGCACTGTCAGATCTTTGTCCTGGAATCTGAAGTGTGTGAGCAAACACAGATTTGGAGGCAGTTTGTAGTGCAAAATTCTTTCCCCTTAAAGCACAATAGCGATGAGGTGAACTTGAAGATAAGCTTCAGTTCCTTTAAATAATGGCAACAAACAGTCTGATGTAAACTTGAAGCATAGTTAATACAGTCTTCCCTGCAGTTGTTTACAGTTATACCACAAATAGCAAAGTACTCTGTGTCCTTTCCACTCCTCAGACGGGAGCAAAGTTTGTCGCTTAAGAATAGGTAGATACCAGCTTTTGATTAGTTAAGACTTTATGAAGCAACTTTTGCCAACGTGATCCACATAGATTGTGGTGGTGTATTTTCTGCCTAAAATACACAAACCAGGAAGAAGCTGTGAAAGACTACTTCATCGTTGCTTCAGGAGGGAAAATAAGTTTTAGGGTTATGCAAATACATCATATACTATTTCCTTAATGACTCCTGTGCCCTCATTTTTGGGCTGTGAAATACCCAAATGCAAAGGAGAGTTAAGCACCAAACTCCCTTAGAATGCTATAGCTCAGGTGTCTGCACCGAGTGTTTTTTTTTCCTCCAATATGCAACTGAGTTATACTGTGGTTGTCAAACAATGTACAACCTTGCTTTGATAGCATAGCTCCCATATCTAAATGTAATAGGGTTAATATGTGGATGCACACAGGTTTTATAGAACTACTGGTAACTGCTAAAAGTTGAAATAATCACTGAAATAGTCTGAAAAAGAGTGAAGGAGAGTCTCTGTTGTACTGACTGATAAGAGACAACAGGTTATCTAGACCATGAGTAAATGTCTGGCTTTGGTTTCTTTCATACTGAAACCTTGTACATAACAAAGTTTATTTCACTGTGTAATATAGGTATGTAAAATAATATTTTCTTACAGATATTTTTGAGAGTTAAAAAAAAATAATCCCTCCATAACCTTGCATTTGAAAGTAAATTGTTATGCACATTATTTTCCAGTCCTCTGAATGGGTTTATTTTTCATTAGTGATCTAAAGTATATTCTAGGTCATAAAGTATAGAAACTGCTATAAATGTCAAATATTATGTATCTACAGGGTACTAAACAGTAAACTAGTTGTGAAAATATTTTTCCCTTGTGTCTGAAACATCAGAACTATGACATGTAGCTATTTCTCTTCTGAGATACCCTGCATAGTCTGGCTTTGTCTTCTGTTCTTCTTTTTACCCCCAGTTTTGCTTAATAAAGTAAAAAAGGACCAAATCTGCTTGGGAATGGAGAACAAAGCTTCTTTAACCAGCTGAAATCATGTCTGGTGCTGATCTTAGTGCTTCTCTGTACCAGTCATGCCTTTGGGGATAAATTCCCACACAGGCGTAAGGCCTTAGCAAAGAATCCCAGAGCTTGCATTGCCTTCTGAGGATGGAGAATGAAGGGGGGAGCTTGCCTCACAGCATAGTGGAGTCTGGCATACGTTCTGCTGTGTTATAAA